GAAGCATGATATGTTGGAATTATATATATATATAGGCTAATTGACCGAAATGTGTGGTCAAAGAAGGAAAATTCCAAAAGTGTGGCTACTTTTTTTTTTTTGACAAAAATATGCAAAACTCCTTTGGGACTTGCGCTTTTGGTTGTGTCCCGGCCTTTTTTTTTTCGTTATTTTCGTAAAACGCAAGAGCCAAATGCGTTTTGCGTATTGTATACGTAAAACGCATTTGGCTCTTGCATTTTCTAGGGTATACGGTATAGGCAAAAACGCAACTTACTCTTGCGTTTTAAGTATTATACCGAAAACGCAAAAGTAAGTTGCGTTTTTTGCGTTTTTTGGAGTTTTTGTATCGGCGATCGCGAAGAAGCACAAAAACGCAATTAGCACATGCGTTTTTGGAGTCTTCGAAAAACGCAAGGAGTTTTTGTACCGGCGATCGCGAAGAAGCACAAAAACGCAATTAGCACATGCGTTTTTGGAGTCTTGCGTTTTTCATATTCGAAAAACGCAATTCAGTCTTGCGTTTTTCACACAATTCCGGAAGTAGCGCCGGTAAATAGTCCGCATTTCGGAGTTGCGTTTTACGTATTTTTTTGGATTATACGTAAAACGCAAGAGCGAAATGCGTTTTTACGTATTCCATACGTCACATGAAAACGCAAGAGCCAAATGCGTTTTACGTATACAATACGCAAAACGCATTTCGCTCTTGCGTTTTACGAAAATAATGAAAAAAAAAAAATAGGCCGGGACACAACCAAAAACGTAAGTCCCAAAGGAGTTTTGCATATTTTTGTCAAAAAAAAAGTCAGCACACATTTTTGTAATTTCTCTTGCCCCTCTACACATTTCGGTCAATTATCCTCTATATATATATATATATATATATATATATATATATATATATATATATATATATATATATTATGTGGAAATTTAAATTACTGATTAGAAATTAAATTGTTTTTATGTCTTTAAAAAAAAAATTATTTATATTAGATGTACAATAGTACTATGAAATTATCTTATTTTGCAAAAAATATTTTTTATGCTAACGACAGAGAATCTATTGGAAGAGACCATTAGTGTCCCATTTTTATTTTTTATTTTTGAAAAAAAGTTTCCAATCTAATTGTTTGTATGGTGTTTTTCAAAGAAATTTGTCATTACAAGATTCTTTGAGCATGTTATTGAGCAATCGTTATGCGTTGGACCCGTGTCCAGCATGCTTGCTGGACACGGGTAACAGTGCCGTTAGGCACTGTTATCTCCTTTTTTTTTTTTTTTTTTTTTTTTTTTCAGACCGCTTCGTTATAGGAGTATATGTTCATAATTTTATTACTATATGTTAATAACTGTACATTCATAACTCCATAACTGTACGTTCATAACTCTATAACTGTACATTCATAACTCCATAACTGTACATTCATAACTCCATAACTGTACATTCATAACTCCATAATTGTACATTCATAATTTTCGAAGCTCTATGTTCACAATTTTAGAGCTCTATGTTCATAAATTTATCACTATATGTTCATAATTGTAAGTTCATAATGTTAGAGCTCTGTGTTCATAATTTCATAATTGCATAACTGTACATTCATAACGGCATAACTGTACATTCATAACGGCATAACTGTACATTCATAATCCAAAAAAAAATAACGCTGTTAAGGGCAAAACGCGCGCGATTTTTTTTTTTTTATAACTAAATGACGCGTTTTTTTAAAAAAACGACGTCGTTTTGGGCCCGTGTCCACAATTCATTGTGGACACGGATCCAGGGCATAATTTGCCGTTATTGAGGTTAAAATAATAATGGGTGACAATACCGAGAGTCGATAATGTTTATGACTCCATCAGATACAAGATTGCCTTTTAAATTTCAAAAGAGGCAATCACTTTATTATTGTCATATGCCATCACAATAAATAAGTCAATACCAAATTAACAATTTGTTTATCCTAAAAATAAAAAAAAAAATTAACAATTTGAAATTTCATCATTTTTTCTGTGCCAATTTCTGTGCCATGATTGTGAAATATGTTATGCAATATACTTTAAAATCTGTTTAAGATGTAATATCTGTATTTTATTATAGTTTATTACAATAACAACACGTAAAATTAAAATATAATTTATTGATCGTGCATCGCATGGGTACAATGCTAGTTTAATAAAAAATGTGTACCTTTATTAACATACAAATTTAAACATTAACACAAATGTGTTTATAGCTTAATGGGTAAAGCTTTTGCTTTTTAATTTTGTGGTTAAGGGTTCAAACCCCACTTTAGATATTTAATACATTGTATATATTTATTAAAAAAAAAAGAAATGAACCTCACTTTAGATATTTAATATATTGTATATATATATTTATTAAAAAAAAATGATCGGTTTGGTACGGGTACCCGCCGATCGGGTTACCTAAATCGTGTACCGATCGGTACTTCAGTTCTTTAGTGCTAATCGGGTTACCTAAATCGTGCCGATCGGTACTTTGGTTCTTTAGTGAAAACATAATCGGTGCAACTCAATTCTTCAATTATATTTATATAATATTCGATGTTATAATTTATACAATTGTATATCGATCTAAATATTTTTAAAATATTATAACAAATTCATCGCGTGCAACGTACGAGCGAAAATACTAGTAAATCTCTAAAACTAAGCTTACAAACCGCTGGCATGTCCCTTCCGGGTTGACTGCCAATTGATTGCACATAACAGGATTGACTTCCTAATTTAAAAGAGATAAGTAAATAATTAAAGAAAGCAATATTCTCCTAAATTGCGGCCATAATCACGCTATTAATGTGTAACGGCCTCCTTGAATGCTTCCATAAATGTTCCCCAAGTGCCTTGTCAATCGCGCTATCCAAAGGCCACTTATCAGGCACTCTATCCACCTGCCAGACATTGTATTCGAGTTTAATTGGTATACCACTCCGAGGCCAACTTCTTAATTTCCAATACCCTAACACTCATCACATCCCCGGCCCACTTTTTTGAGGAAAGCAAACTTCTCCCAAATTGCGGCCATAATCACGCTATTAATGTGTAACGGCCCCCTCCATAAATGTTTCCCAAGTGCCTTGTCAATCGCGCTATCCAAAGGCCACCTACCAGGCACTCTATCTACCTACCAGACATTGCATTCGAGTTTAATTGGTATACCACTCCGAGGCCAACCTCCTCATCTCCAATACCCTAACACTCATCACATCCCCGGCCCACTTTTTTGAGGAAAACAATCTTCTCCCAAATTTCGGCCATAATCACGCTATTAATGTGTAACGGCCTCCTTGAATGCCTCCATAAATGTTCCCCTAGTGCCTTGTCAATCGCGCTATCCAAAGGCCACCTACCAGTCACTCTATCCACCTATTGTATTCAAGTTTAATTGGTATACCATTCCGAGGCCAACCTCCTCATCTCCAATACCCTAACACTCATTACATCCTTGTGGCTCACGGAGTTGATGATAAGCGATAAATTGTCTTAGTGGTGCACTTTATTTAATCCATTTTGCGTATATCTTAATGTGTTTGAGATAATCTGAGAGGGCAGCTCAAGTGGCAAATGAGCTCTCTTTGCATGGGGCTCCCCCCAAAAAAAATGTGTTTGAGATGAAAATCACTTATAACAATTATTTTTAATTATAGATAAGAAAGAGTGGGCAAGAAATAAGGCATTTTGCAAGTGAAAAGACTTCAAGGAAGCACTAAACGAAGGCATAAGGGTGTGAAGCAAGTCAAGGGGTTAAATCTGAGCGCCATGACCATCCCAGGACACTTTCTGAACTTGGGGCTCACGCTGACACTCATTGCCATGAGCGTCAATGTGAGGCCAGGAATCAAAAAGTTTGGTCTAAACCATACGGTTGAGTGAGATGCTAGACCAGCATGAAAGTTTGGGTCCAAGTTAGTGCTCTTGGGCATAACTTCAAGCATCCGTGAGGTGTCATTGGAGGTCATGATCGACCTCACAGTTGAAAGCTGAGTAAAAGTGGTGCTGGAATGGAGTGTGTGTGAGAGGGTATCCTCGTATCATATCGGATATCGTCTCAATGAGTGGAATGGAAATGTGTTGAATAGTAGGTGGTTAAGCACAAAAGTGTAGAGTGTTTAGAAGTTAGTTTGAGAGCGAGTTGCAAGATATCAAGGAACAACTATATACAAAGTGTAATGGTAAAACAATTAACTAAGGTAATTAATAAGTAATAGTAAAACTAAGAGCTTGGACTATTCTATTTTTAATAGATGCCATAATGTATCCTTGGTGAGAGCTCATGTAATGGTAAATTGTAATTCAGCCCTACTCTCATGGTGAATCAAGCCAATTGAAGTAATTCATCAACATGTGGTGTTCACATCTCCTTCGAACTCCCTTTTCTTAAAGCAAAGTTGGACTAGTGAGAGGTGTGGCTATGGTATTGCTCTATTCTCATAGTGACAACACCTTGTTCATGTACCTCTTGCATAATTTGGCCACAACAATACAAGAGTCAATACAAACCACCAAGATCACAACTAGAGGCATCATCAAGTCATTACACTATCTCATAGCTCAATTCAATCACATAGCATCAATCGCAAAAGATGATTTCTATCTTCAACCACTGTCCACAATGTCACCCTGCTCGTCGTGGCTTCCAGCTTCTTCTTTTAGCTTGTTGGCTTCTTCCTTGCTTGTATGGAAATGCCTCCTTGCTCTTCCTATAGCAACAAATCACCCCGTTTAAGCGCCAATGGCTCCAACAATGCCTCCACAGCACCTATTAACCAATTACGATGCACACAATTCAGCTTTGCAGTTAACATATTATGTATCTGCAGTCAACAATTTATGTGGTGCCTGTAATTATCATGTTATTCAATTTATTTACATGTACAAAAAATTTTAACTGCATGTTTGAATGTGTTAATTGCAAACACATAATTTTTTAACGAGGATTCACAATGCAATAGGAACTCGGGTCCATGGTATAACAATTGAATATTTTTTGCAATTCATCAGCTGATTGTCAATGTCTTTTGAGTTAATCATGCTATACAGATTGAGATCAGCTGCTCTGATCAAACAGTGATGCTTCAACAAGAATACATACATCATTTTATTGCTCTAATTCCAGACAAACTGCTTCTTCCTATGCCACACATCCAACAGGCAATTAGTAGCAAAAATAACATTACTGTTCTAAGTCCTAGATTCTGTCAACTACAACTTGTATGCTACAATTACAATCACTCTTATTTCACAGTTACAGGTGAAAATATGCATATTTGACATCCAAATCCTTCAATCCATGGCAGCTAACATATTGTCCTTTCCACATCTTCTACATGCTAGCAAGAATGTCACACACATAATACATCAAGAAAATGCCTGAACTTACTTATATCGGCATGACTGTCCTTTTACACAGAAATGCAAAAGTGTTAATGGCCTTCGGAACAATTGGTCATCATCTTTGCACCGACTACAAGGTTCCCAGGCATGACGATCTATGGAGCCAATTCAAATTCATATCATCCTTTACAATGCTAATCCTTAGATCCTTAAAATAGTCTCTATAATTTTCCCACAAAAAAGCAGTTTCCTCATCGCATATGACAGTTGTTAATTGTGCAAGGTTCCGTACTGTATCAGGCAGGTCATCTAGTCCCTGACGACCTCCCATAAAGATGGTCTCTAAAGAACGCAATTCGCCAATTTTTTCAGGAATGGGATCCAAATCCACACAATCGTATATATCCAGGAACTTTAGTTTGTAGAGCCTTTCCATTGAATCCGGTAACCCTGTCAGGTTTGAACATGAGTGAAGCATCAGAACTTCCAAGTTCTCCAAGTTGCATAGTTCTTCAGGAATTTCATCTAATTTTTGGCAGTAACTGATGCTAAGCTTCCTAAGATTGACAAGATCACATATACCAATTGGCAGCTTTTTTAAGTCATCACAGTATTCGATATTAATTTCCAGAAGGTTTGGCATCCGATCAACACAATCCCGAAATGCATCCCCAACCTCACACATGACCAATGAAATCTTCTGCAAGTTTTCCAACATGAAAGTTGATTGACAGATGGAAGAAAATGATATACGCTCCAACCTAATTCTCTTTAAGTTGTGCAAATGGCCAAGCAGAGTACAGTTACTAAACACGGTTGGGGAGAAACCGTTATTCGTGACAACGAGAACCTTTAGATGGCTTGCTTTCTCCACAAATATTGGTAAGGTATAAGAACTTGATTGAATGTTCAACAATAGTACTTCAAGATTTGGAAGTTGCAAGTCATTGGAGAATAATGTTTCATCTGCAGTTGGTAATAACGCCTTTATTTAGTGGAGGAAACTTTAATGAATACACTGTAATAATAATTTTAAGGCTTATTGGTTAAAAATGTTCTTTAAAAAATAATGTTATGTTGTAAAATTTTAAATAAGTGATGCACAAACACAAAAAATCTGAGCTAGATTAGATTCGTTCTTAGGTTGGAAATTATAAGTGTTACAAAATACAAATATTTGATATCAATTTGTCAAAGTTTAAAGATTTTAATCTAATTGTTAGTTATAATTGTCACAAAATACAATGGTTTGGGTTCTTTTACCAAGTTTTAAAGGTTTGTTACAAAGCATAAATGTTCAAGTTTTGTTTTCACCAATAAAGCCTAAATTTAATTGTTTTATCAAAATTTTATAGCATGTTAGCGCCTAGGCGCAATTTTTGCAACACTGGTTGATATAAAGATTTACCTTTTAGATGAAAGAAAAAAATTATTGTTTATTTAATCTTTAAAAAGGTTAGTGGCCAACCTGTAGAGATGGATAGCATTTGGACTTGAAGTAGTAGCCTTGGTTGTTTAAGCACCCATGGAGGGAAATCATTGTCAATATTTAATCTCCTTCGATTTTCTATGGTTTCATTGACACTCTGGTACATAGCCAATTCTCTTAGCACATCATGTTGCCGGGCATAGTGCACTGCATTAGAGAAGCCAATGCTGGCAGGATCATCTTTTCTGTGAATAAGAAAAACTTTTCTGTCAATGGTGACCGATATGATTACCTCATATTCTTAAACTAGCAAAATATCTAGGCTACAGCAGTTCATTTAAGAAGCTTCATACAAGAATGTCAAAGAGACAAGAAAATAAAAAATAATTGAATGCACACACCTTCTAAGGGCAAGATCGACAAGGTTGTACGAAGCAAGGTGGAGAAGGATATTAAAAGCTGAAAACCCATCATCATCAAGATTGTAACGTTCCTCCCACATGTCCAAAAGCACCGCTACTGGTATTCTTTGATCTTCAAGAAATAATCCCAGATCTTGGTAACAGTCTTTCAAAATTTCATTCAAGGCATCGATGCTTGGTTGGAGACAATCAAGCAGATCGCTACCCAAAGGAAAGAGGATTTGACCCTTAGACTGCTTCTTAATTCTATCATTCCAAAAAAACTCATTTTGTCTGTACAAAGATCTTCCTACAACCTTAAGAGCCAACGGGAATCCTCCGCAGCTTTTTACCACCTGCCATTACAAACCATTAGTGAGCTTCCTCTAAATGGAATCTATAGGGATAAGATAGGCTATAATTCAGTCACCGACACAAAGCATCAGATTATTTTATTTAGAAAATAATTCAATCAAACTTTGAAACTTGAATGGTTCAAGCACATACATTAAAGTAATATCGTAAGATTTGAAACTGTACTATTAACCACATTAGTAGCTTTTACCTTATCCACAAGATCTCTTTGAACAATACATTTCCCACCTTCAAAGGCATAGTTACAAAATAGAATCATCGCATCATTATCAGGCAACAATTTCAATTTATACGTATATTTAAACTGTGGGAATCTGCATCTTGTTGTAACCAAAACTTTGTAATTTTGTATGGGAAAGATGAGTTTTTCAAGAACTGAAAGTGATTCATTCCAAACATCATCCAGGACCAGCAACATAGATTTGCCCACTAAATGCTCCTGTAGTAGATGTTGCAGTTGGTTGAGTGCATCTTCATTACTTTGAAAGTCAGGCACCAATCCATTGCTTAACTTGTTAAAAATTTTGTGAATAATGCTCCTGAGGTTTGGTGTTCTTGAAACCGTGACAAAGTAGATTTGCTGGTATTTCTCTGCAAAGAAATAAGACTAAGTTGTCAGAACTCAGAAATAGTGTGGAAGCATATATTCAAATAGTATAACCATCCTTCTAGCTAGTAAAGATTGCATCTTGCTAGGTGCTCTCAAGAAAAAGTATGTATACTAGACCAAGCGATTTACTCATACAGCTTGTTAGATCAAGCGCAAGTTATAGCTGATAACGGAAGCTCAACTAACATCACATTTTCGTAACGCAGGGTACTAGACTTGGATCTTTAGGCCTCCACCCAATCTCTCTAGCCAACGCAGGGTGCTAGACTTGGACCTTTAGGCCTCCGCCCAATCTCTCTAGCCACCTAGTGCTAGACTTGCCCTTCGGGACTCCACCCAACAATCCCTCTAGCCACCTGATGCTGGACTTGGCCCTTCAGGCCAACACCCAACAATCCCTCCCCATCTGGTGATGGAGTTGCCTTTCAGGCCTCTGCCCAACAATCCCTCTAGCCACCTGATGATGGACTTGGCCCTTCAGGCCACCGCCCAACAACCCCTCCCCATCTGGTGATGGAGTTGCATTTCAGGCCTCATGGAGTTGCATTTCAGGCCTCTGCCCAACAATCCCTCTAGCCACCTGATGATGGACTTGGCCCACCGCCCAACAATCCCTCCCCATCTGGTGATGGAGTTGCCTTTCAAGCCTCTGCCCAACAATCCCTCTAGCCACCTAATGATGGACTTGACCCTTCAGGCCACCGCCCAACAATCCCTCCCCATCTGGTGATGGAGTTGCCTTTCAGGCCTCTGCCCAACAATCCCTCTAGCAGCCACCTGGTGCTGGACTTGGCCCTTCAAGCCACCGCCCAACAATCCCTCCCCATCTGGTGATGGAGTTGCCTTTCAGGCCTCTGCCCAACAATCCCTGTTGAGCATATAGCTATTAATGTGCAATCCAATTATCAGTTTAGGCTTTTAATTGAGATGGAGTACATGCTTCAATTTGGTATCAGAGCGACTACGGTTCACTTGTTGCTTGGAACCCACCGCACGTGAGGGGACGTGTTGAGCATAGCAGTGTTTGATACTAACTTATGTAAAAGGTTATGAGTTAAACATTCATAAATTACTCTGAATTCTAAAGAGGCTACCAATTGAATAAGCTCTAGAAGCTAGTGTAAAGAGTTGGGAATCACAAAACCTTTAATATCTTTGTCGTGGCAGAGCAGTTTCACTAGACTCGTCTTGCCGCAGCCCCCAGGAGCGGAGATCACCACCACAAGTTCTTCATCTGCTTCATCCACCATCTTCTTCAACTCCAGAAGGGGAACATCGAATCCCACTAAACCAGCTGGGACTGCCGGCACATCAACCCACCCAGGAAACGCACTGGGAGTGCCCATAGCAGTTGCCCCTTGATTGATTGTAAGATTCTTGACAAGCGCAAGAAGCTCATCCGTTTTCTCATCTATGCCATTCACTGTCACCAGAGTTTTCTTGTTGTCCCTGAAACTCTGTATCTGGACATCAATAGAAAAAAATCTCAACAGCGATTTCTCCAATTTCGCCAGCTTCTTTGAGTACCGCCACTTCTTGCAAAGATTGTGGCGTTTGATTTTCTTGCACTCCTCGACTAGCGCTTCGCCGTCGGCGAGCTGTTTGATAAGCACTTTTGTTTCGTCTTCCCGGGTGCCGGTGAGCTTGTTTAGTTTCTCTATGTCATGAAAAATGGGTTGAATCCGACAGAGGGTTGATTTTAAGCTCTCAAAGTCTGATCTGAACGCGGCCACTTTCCGGCAAGAATCCACGACGACGACGAATAATTTATCAAACGCCACCCCCAATACGGCCCCTTCTAGCAGAGATGCGGCCATTTTCCTCTGCCTGAGCTAGAAACAATTATTTGGGAAATTTAGTTTTAATATTTCCCACAGTATACACTTTCATCTTGTCTCTTGGGAATCATTCTGTGGAGCGTGGAATCCGTGGATAATAAAGAAACAGGCCCACGAGGAAAGGAGAAAGAACTTTTCAAAAAAGTAAAATTAAAAATAAAATATACTCACTTTTCGTTCTCTTAAATTAATTTAGTGTTGCACTTTTCATCCTTTTTGTGCTCACTTTTCGTTCATGAATTATATTAAAATTACAAATTTCGTCCCTAATATTTTATTAATAAATAAATAAAAAGTAAGTATGTTTCACACTTAAAAAGTTCTACAATTATTTTATAATTTAGGGACGAAAGGTGTAATTTTTTAAAAAAGACAAAAGAAAGGAGAAAGAAACTCCGGGAACAATAAGTCAGTGACTATTGGACAAAACGGACTTTATAAGTGGGAACTGGGAAGTATACGAGTGTTCCCACTTTATTTTACTTGCTTTTCTTTTTTCCCTCAAATAGTAGACTAAACTTTACTTTAAAAAAAAAAAAAAAACTAATTAGATTCATTCATACTCTTAAAATGTGCAATTAAGCCTATAAATATATTGATAATATTTAGTGAATAGCATTAGTTGATTGTAGAAATATTTGGTAAATTAGCTGCCTATTAGTTGATAGTTGATTTCAGATAAAATTTCAATTTTGGTCCACTGACTATTGGAGTTGTTTTAATTGCAACACTTAACTTTTAAAAATGTTAATTTAGTACCTTGACTATGCAATTTCTATCAATTTTGGTCACACCGGTCAAATTGCCGGCCAAATCTCACCGGAAAAATTTTATGGGATAAATAATGAGGGTATTTTAGTCATTTTACTCATGTTCTTTCTTCTCCGATGAACTTTCCTCCATTTCCGGCGAGATTCCTTCTCCGATAAGCTTCTCCGATGGTGTTGATGAAATGCCACAGGTATACACACACCACCCAGTGTTGCTTCATCCAAACTCTTTCTAGTTGATCTCTTGTTTGCATCACCAAATTAAACCTCTCAAAATCTATATATCTCCCTTTACCCATAACCCTGTGCATATATGCTAAAAACACAACACTACAGTTTCCCCATCACAATTCTGGGAAATTAAAAATGAGGCCAAAAACACAATCCTCAGTACTCAACCTTAGACTCCTCCTCATCTGCATCTTCATAGCCTTCTTCATCCTCTTTGTAATCAAGTCATCAATAGTCTCATCTCCTGCAGCAACAACCCAATCTTCTTCTTCTTCTTCTTCTTCTTCTTCTTCTTCTTCTTCTTCTTCTTCTTCTTCTTCATAGAAATCTCAAACATTTTTGCCCAGAAAAGAAGCAAGATCGGGTAGTCTGTGCAATTTCTTTCAAAATTCAAGAAATTTAGAGCAAAGAATACAGCTTTGTGTTATCTGTAGTCTGTAGATGCATCCTTGTATTTACCCGGAGAAGGAATCGCCGGAAATGGAGGGAAGTTCATCGGAGAAGAAAGAACACGAGTAAAAAGACTAAAATACCCTCATTATTTGCCTTATTAAATTTTTTCGGTGAGATTTGGCCGGCAATTTGACCGGCGTGACCAAAATTTATAGAAATTGCGTAGTCAAGGTACTAAATTAACATTTTTGAAAGTCAAGTGTTGCAATTAAAACAACTCCGATAGTCAGTGGACCAAAATTGAAATTTTCTCTTGATTTCATACAAAATGATTTTCTCAAAAAGCTAATCAAAAAATTGTTTTAAACAATCTTTTGAATTTTAGTGTTTTGGAGCAATAAGTTGTTACAAAAAAACTAATTAATCAAACACTCATATTGATTGTTTAACCAAGTCAAACAGCTAATAATGGTCAAGCAAGTCAAAATTGACTGATAGGCTACCGAACAGGACCATTATGTTAGTGTATTGAAGCACAAAAATCAATTAATGACTTGTAATAGTAAGTTAGTAAGATTTCGGTGATCCTCCGACTAACTCCAACAACCCTCCGACCAATTCTCGGTGAGATTTCAAGGACCAAAATAATTGACATTTACCTGAAAAGGCGACCAAAAAGGTCGCCTTTTGCCAAAAATGGCTGTCTTCTTCCTGAGCAGAAGGGTCGTCTGGGATGGCAACCATTTGGTTATCTTACCTATTATCAAATCTCACCAAGCACCCAAAAAAAAAAAATTTATCAAATCTCGCCATTGAATAATGATTGTGGGTTTTATAATTATAATTTAAAAATTAAAGAAAAATGTTTAGCTCAATGATTCAAGAGTTATTCTGTAAGTTTTGCTCTAGCGGCAATGAAGTTAGTAGGAGACCCAAAGCTCAAAAAAATTGATCAACTCGCGATTTATTTGGAGACCTCTTGTACTGTAAATAAATAAACCTTGATCTACTTTTAAATTAGAAGGAACTTATAATTTTTTTATAATTATAAAGTTAGACGAATGCTTTCATTGATTTAATATCATTTTGATTAATAAAAACTTGACAGATAATTTTTTGAACTTAAAATTAGTAGGGTATGCAAATTTTTTGTCTAATTTATATTGTGATTTTTTATTCTTTAATTCAAATTACAATAACTAAAAGTATAACCATTGATAAATAAATAACATATTACAAATTTATCTAAAGTATTACTGGTTTAGGGCATATTTTTCCAAAAATTAGAAGTAGAATCACTAAATTGAAATATACAAACAATTTAGATTTACAATTAAGAAAAGCATAAATTGTATGGGTATAACAATCAATTTTTTAATGTATTGCAGAATATAAAATGCATGAGAATTATATATCAGTGTTGCAAAAATCGCGCCTAGGCGCTAGGCGGTCGGCCACCTAGGCGCCCTAGGCGCCGATTAATCGCTCTAGGCGCCCGCCTAGGCACTCTAGGCGCCCTAGGCGGTCCCCAGGCGCCTAGCGATTTTTGCAACCTTTATAAATATATATATATATATATATATGAAAAAGTTTAAATGCGGCGGTGTGGCGGAATTTCAGAATACACCAACAGTGTTAACAACATACACCAACAGTGTAAGGGAAACACACCATAATAAAATGTAAAAAAACATCAAAAAATACACAACAGTCAACAGACTCAAAAAAAAAATACACCATATAACTCACCACACCCCAATGGTGTATTTTCGAACACTATATAATATTTTTACTCACACCCAATGGTGTATTTTTGGTGATACGTACCTAATTTGTGTGTTTTTGTGCTGCATTTTCCTAACGTTGATGATGTATATTTGTTGAACTATTGGTGACGCCGTACCTAAAGACATCGCCACACTTGAACCTTGCTCTCTCTCTCTCTCTCTCTCTCTCTCTCTCTATATATATATATATATATATATATATATATATTATGAGACATGTTTTTAATTAGAGAGCAAAACATTCGGATGTACTAACCAAAGCCCAAAGGGATACTTGTAAATTTCTTGAAGAACCACGTCGAGAGCTTTGCAAGTATTAATGAAGAACTGCTTGGAAGCAGCTCGACCGAGAAGAGTTTCTCATAGGTGCTAGTTGGTAATGCATTTATGCTTCCCCTCCCGTTAATCCAAAAAAAAAAAAAAAAATTACTATTATTTTTTTGAAATCATATCTCTCCTATACTAATATTTGGGAGTTGCCAATTGCCCCTCAAAAATAACACCCCTTATTAACCGTTGATCTCAAATCATGTGGTTAAATTTTTTTTATCTAACATTTAGATTTATTTTTGTTATCAAATGCCCTCAAATTTTGAGTGAATTACAACTTTACCATTCTATAGCTCACTTCTAGACAAAAATTCTTTTCACTTTCCCTTCTACTTTTTCTTTCTTTTCTTTCATCTTTTTATCTTGTTTTGAGGATAGCTCCATGTGGTTATTACAATGTTACCATTTTCAAGTATAATTATATATATATATATATATATATATATATTATAAATATTAATTTTTTTTATTTTATACAACTTGTAATTATATTTTTAAATATTTTATTTGATCAATTCTTTTATTATAAATTTTATTATTCAATATTGTTATGAATTTCTAATGAAATAAATTTTTTTTTATGTTTATTAATAATATATATAAGTAATTAGCATATAAGTCTCAACCTACATACTATGAAGATAAATAATAATGTTGATGTGGGTGAAGAACTATATAATAAAAAAATTTTATGATATATTATAAATGATTTGTAAGAAAATTATATAAATGATAAGAATCAAAATCATTGAAAGTATGTAAGGATGTATTCAATTTAGAATTTCAATAACTTTTGTAGACTTTTTAAAATAAAAAATTGATAAAAGTCTATGAATGTTTTTTAAATAGACTTTTATAGAGTCTTATAAAGTTTTAAAAAAGTTTTGAATGACTCTATGAAAGTCAATTAAAATTTATTAAAATATATCATTTTAAAAGTCTTTAAAACTCTACAAAAGTAATGATTGAATACACCCCCTTTAGTAATTGATTTTGATTGGCTGGCTTAGACTTAGTAATTGATTTTGATTGGCTTAAACTTATATTGGATTGGGCAGAAGTTTTTTACAGTATCTCATTTTGCTTTAATATATAGAGAGATAGAGATGAGCTTAAACTTGGTATTGGCTTAAACTTATATTGGATTGGACGGGAACTTTTTACAGTATCTCATTTTACTTTAATATATATAGAGATAGAGATGGGCTTAAACTTAGGATGGGCTTAAACTTATATTGAATTGGGCAAGAACTGTTTACAGTATCTCATTTTGCTTTAACATATAGAGAGATTTAAAAATTAAAAAACATTAATTAATTGTTGGGTATGACGTTACGCACAAAGCGCAAATCCGTGACTAGTATATATATACACAAAAAATGTCAAATGAATAAAAAAAAAATGTTATGTGTACTCTCATGTTTTATATACATTAAAAATGTATAATGAATAACAAGGAAAAATGTTATGTTTACTCTCATGTTTTAGTCCTAACTTTTACTTTTACATACACAACCTTGATATAGACACTTGCATTGAGATTTGAAACCCATATTAAAAAATAGCTAATTAGGTCTATCATACTGATTTGAGGTACATGCGGCAGAATTCAAATAAAAAATATAGTCACTGTTGCGAAGTTTCCGTATCCTTTCCTCGTGGACTTGTTTCCTTATCATCTACTGAACATAATTCCCAGGAAACAAGAAGAAAATGTGTGCTGTGTAAAAATATTGGGAAAAAGAAATCTTCTCAAACAAGTATTACTAGGCTACTAGCTTAGGGAAGGAAAAAGCTTGAGGATAATGGCCGGATCTCTCATCGGAGGGGCCGTTTTGGGCGTGGCGTTTAATAAACTTTTCGCTGCGGTCAGCGATGCTGGTCGGAGAGTGGCCGCGTTCAGATCAGACATTGAGAGCTTAAAATCAACCCTCTTTCAGATTAAACCCATTTTTCAAGACATAGAGAAACTCAACAAGCTCACCGGCACCCAGGAAGCCGGAACAGAAGCGCTTATCAAACAGCTCAAGGACGGCGAAGCGCTAATCCAGGAGTGCTTGAGCATCAAGCCATACCATCTTTTGAAGAAGTGGCGGTGCTCAAAGAAGCTGGCGAAATTGGAGAAGTCGCTGGTGAGATTCTTTTCTATTGATGTCCAGATACAGAAGTTCAGGGATAGCAAGAAAACTCTGGCGAAGGCGAATAGTGTAGATCAGAAAATGGACGAGGCACTTGCTTATCTCAAAATTCTGGGAACCTCTTAAGGACTTCGTTTGAAATTAAAGTTGTATTTAGCTCACTTTTTTATTATTTATTTTAGTAATGTTGCAAAAATCAAGTCTAGACGCTAGGCAGCGTAAGCCTCGATTAGGTCACGGCGGAATAGGAGGCCGTCTAAGCAGCTTAGGTGAGCGTTGAAAGCTTGTTCATTAACATTTATTTTTCAAATGAAATATAGAAAATTACTCTGTATTTGAAACTAATTGTTTTTTTTTTTTTTTTTTTTTTTTTACTCCTATCATTTAAATTCACAAATGTTAGTGGTAAGTAAGAATATGTCCAGGTTGTTGATATCAAAATTTTGGAACATTTAAAATTTTGAGTGATACCTTTTAATTATTACTCTCACTATCTAACATATTTATTATATTTGAATTAAGATCCTAACAAGTTCAATTAAATTAAAATTTAAATCAATTCGTTGAATAACATATAATTCTAAGTGCATATAAATATGTTATATTGAGATAAGTAAATGAGCAATAGGTAGATATATAGTGATGGTAGGTAAAGTAAGAAAAGATAATATTGAATGTATGAAGTGGTAAGTGTATAAATATATAATAGGAGTGACGGTGATAATTAATGCGATGATAAGTAGATAGGGGTGACAGTGGTGTATATAGGTTGGAGTAGCAATATATGTAGGAAAGAATAAGTTGATAAATCAATTTAGTTATAAGAAATAAATATAAAAAGATTTTGAATTTTGTAAATATAAACCCAAACAGAATTCCGCATTGTAACGTCTATTTAAAATGGATAGTGCAAGCTCAATGGATAGCGTCTATTTCTGTGTGTAAGAGAAAGCTTTTACACTATACTAGTAATTCACTCGCGCGATGCACGAGAAAAAATTATGTTATTATAAATATAAATAAAAATAGAAAAATTAAAATATTTTAAATTGTTTAATATAATAATATTTTTGAGTTTTCATTGGTCAAGTATTTATTATTTGTATAGAATACAAAATTACAATTAAAATTAAAATTAAAATTTTGTATGGTTAATATAATCTCTAATTATGTGCATATTCAAATAAACTTATAGAGAAAATTTACATAATTATATTGATTTATTCTTAATTGTATTTCATCTATATTATAATTTTCACAATACGAATAATAACTCAGATAATTACATTTGGAAAACAAATTTCAAATTTTGTATGAGTAAATTTAAACTCTAATTGAACACATTTTTTATATGATTATATAATATATATAGTGATTTTATTTTTCAAAAGTACATTTTTTATATGATTATCATGGTTGCAGTAGGCGCTGGGCGCTAGTCGGGCGCCCGGGCAGCGCCTAGCGCCTAGGCGGAATCTAGGCGGTCGCGAAAAAAATAGTAGCAGACTTGCAATTTGACAATTTTAATGAGGCTATTTTCAACATTCAATCAAATAACACATCCAAATAAATGACATAATGATAATTCGTAAGTCATAACATCAAAAGAATATTTAAAAAAAAAAAAAAAAAAAAACTCAAATGAAATACCCAAATACTTCAATCATCCAAAGATTGAAAGTATCAAACTAGTCTACGAGTGTATATATGTCTTATTATATGTATATGTCATATAAATGGAAAACATTAGCAAGGTCGAGTCGGTCGGGTTAACTCGACTAACTCGACAGAAATTGACGAGTTAACTCGGCGTAATCGGACGAGTTAGGCGCTAGGCGGGCGCCTAGGCGGCCGGTCTCCTAGGCGGGAGCCTAGGGCGGAAATCGCCACGGCCTATGGGCGCCTAGCGCCTAGGCGCCGATTACTCAGTGCCTAGGCGCGATTTTTACAACCCTGATGATTATATAATATATAACTATTTTATTTTTCAAATGTTGTGCTTTTTTATTTTTTTTATTTTTTATAATAAAGGATGTTGTGGCATTAATTGAAACATTAATTACTTTTCAAACCATATAGCTTTATTATAGTTAAGATAATTCAAACATGGGAATTTATTCCTCAAAATCTCATATTCCATCTTCTTCCCCTAAGAAATTGCACGCCAAGGTGGGGTACTCCAATTGATACCATTATAATTTTAGGCTTTTAGCGGTTCTAGGTTTGAGTATTAACAAACAGAGGAAATTTTGAAGGTACGGGGCAAATTTTACCATGGACAATGATCCATGTAGACATGTAGTAGTGTAGTTTGTGAAGTAAGCAGTGGCGGAGTCAGGATTTGTTGATGTAGGGGGGCGAGTTCACTGTCACTCCTGATAAAATTCACTGCTCGTAGCCGGTAGCCCGAGTTCACTGCGGTTGCTGTCGTGAGTCGTCAACTGAGAAAACGAAAGAGAAGATTTAGTCCGAGTTCACCACGATTATTGTGACTTGTGAAGATGATGAATCCATCTCCAATAAACAATAATTCATAAAAGATGAATCCATCTCCATTCACCGCAATTAGGAATTTGGATGGTTTGTGTATTATACTTACTCTGAAAACTTTCTTTTAGGGGGAGAAATATTTGGTGATGGTGATGGGGCCACACAATGACACAATAGCTATTAAGCCTATTAGCCTATTATAATATTAATAATTTTATTTTATTTTTTTGGTGGGGGGCCAAGCCCCAATGGCCATGCTGTGCAGCCTGTGATGTTCCATACTAACACAAAAAAACTTTTCTTTTGGGGTGGGGGGGGGGGGGGGGGGGGGCAAGGCCCCCTCCTACCATAAGGTGGCTCCGCCACTGGAAGTAAGTATCATTCTAATTACATTTTAGTTTGATAATATTGTTCTGTTTTTCAATTTTATTTTTCACTCATTATAGTAATACCAAAATATCATTTTAATTATACTACAATTTCATTTGACAATATACATTATTGTATGAGTTCTATTTTGTAGTTTCATTTTTCACACACACTAGTTTAATTATAATAATGCTAAAGTATTATTTTAATTACACTCCACGTTCCTTTGACAATATATGTTATTATATGACTCTGAATTTTAATTTTATTTTTCATACACACAAGTTTCATTTTAATAACATTAAAGTAACATTTTCATTTGACAGTATACGTTATTGAATGCGTGCTATGTTTTTTAGTTTCATTTTTCCTACACACTAATTTCATTTTAGCAATACTAAAATATCATTTTAATTCTACTAAAGTTTTATTTGACAATCATGATCCACATATCACTATGGACCATGGTCCACGGTATAATAATTGAATACCAATAGTTATGCTGTGCAACCGAATCCACCATGCGCATGGTGCATACGATGCAAAACGACGTCGTTTTGACTAAAAACGCGCGTCCCATTTAAAAAAAAAAATCAGGTTCGATTCTCGGCAATAGCATTATTGTGGATATATAGTTATGAATTTGTGGATATATAGTTATGAATTTGTGGATATATAGTTATGAATTTCTGGAATATATAGTTATGAATTTATGGATATTTAGTTCATTCATTGTAGATATTTACTTCATTCATTCACTGTGGATATATAGTTATGAATTTGTGGATATATAGTTATGAATTTATGGATATTTAGTTCATTCATTGTGGATATTTAGTTCATTCATTGTAGATATTTACTTCATTCATTCACTGTGGATATTTAGTTCATTCATTGTAAATTTTTACTTCATTCATTCACTGTGGATATTTAGTTCATTCATTGTAAATTTTTACTTCATTCATTCACTGTGGATATATAGTTATGAATTTGTGAATATATAGTTATGAATTTATGGATATATAGAAATGTTATTACCGGGAATCGAACTTGATTTCTTTTTTAAGTGAGACACGCATTTTTTAACCAAAACGACATCGTTTTGCATCGAATGCACCATGCGCATGGTGCATTCGGTTGCACAGCATAATTTGCGATTGAATACTTGGACCGCCATGGCCGTAAATCAAAGAGGAGCAGTCTAGTTTGTGGGCTTATTGATGTAAGCCCAAAATTTATTTTGGTATGAAATTTGTATATGTAATAATATCATGAACATGTAGTTTATAAGTGAAATATGAGGGAGTTCTACTACATGTATTTTCAAATCTTACCTTCTTAAATTTATTTCATGATGTGATAGATACTAATAGGCTATTTTGTTCATATAGTCTCTGTAAATGTGTCTATATCAAAATTTTAAGTGTTGGAGTAAAAATTGAGAGTACATATAGTATTTTCCAATATAAGGTGACTTAAGATATTAGTCTAGTGAATAAGAAAATTTATTTAAGATTTGTTATTAGCAATAAGGTATGAGTTTGATTCCTGTTATGAACATTGGGGGTTTAGATTTGGATTAGACTTTTTATGCATAAAATGTATAATTTGATTTTGAGTCAGGACAAATTCATGAGATCCAATATATAATTCGAAAATTAGAGTGGTTTATTACATCAATTATAGAAAGTTTAATCACAGAGTAAGGTTCAATTAGTGGTACAAAAAAGTAATATTGTTAAGAAAAGAACGTAAAACCTTTTAGTGAAAATGAAATACTTTACAAACTAAAGTACTCCGTAATTCTTTTCATTAAAAAAAGTAATAATTTCCAAAGATCATGTAAAAGTTTTCAAGAAAACAAGTAATATGTTCAATAAAATGTAGTGAAAATACAAAACTTTAGAAACAACAATAATACTTTTCAGTGACGACAATGTAATACTTTACAAGGAAAAAAATAACACCCTTTTGTCATATTTTATCTGTCATGTTTACTATTCATTTGTCAAATCAACTTTTTCTTTCTTTTTATTTTCGTTAATATTTTTTTTAATAATTTTTAAATTTATTGTGTGTGTGTTTAATAGTACTTTTAATATATAGTTTCAAATATATAAATTTTATATACTAATACTAAACTTAACATTATGAAAAATTGATTTGTAAATAACTTTAGTTGAGTTTCGTTAAATAAACCAGACATATAAAACCAGACTGATGAAGTACATTTTATGAAATAACAATAGTTTTTAGTAAAAATCTAA